TATTTTTGTAGCTAGCTTTTCCACTTCACTTTTCTTCTTCTTGATGGTCGTTTTCCTTCTTCCCTCCTCCTCCTTTCCTTTCCTTGATCTTGAGTAAACTTTATCTTTTGTAGGTGTATTTAAGCACTCTTTCTCTTGAAATTTCTCACCTCCACTCCCCGAATCAATGGCTTCCCCTCTTGGGCTAACAAACTCAGCAAAACCTCCAAAAGTCCTATCCTCCTCTTCCAAAAGTAGAGACAAATTCCTCCACTGTAACCTCTAAAGATTTGCATCAGACAGGAAGGCACAGGTGATTTCAGGATTCAAAGTCAATTGGCTTGGATCTGGATCTGCAAACACAACAGGACAGGAAGGCACATAACCATTAACCAGTAACGCAAAAAGGAGTACCCAAATGGCTAGAAGCAGGGGCGGAATTAGAGGGGGATAAGGGGTTAGAATCTCCCTGTTCCAATCTTTCACAAGCTTCCCTATCATCAGACACTTTTTGCTGGTTTGCCTCTTGAGAAAAATCCATTACAGCATCCTTATTGTGTTCCTCTTGAGCTTCCTCATTAAAAATACTGGATCTACCAATCTTCCTCGGCCCATGATCCTGTTTGTGTACATGCATTGATACTCTAGTGTTTTAGAAGCGCAAGGCACAAGGCACAAAGAGAGGTGCTCACCTTTTTGAAGCAAGGCGCAAAAATAAAAAAAAAATGCTAAAAAATAAAAAAAAATGTCAACAAATTCTAAAAATAAAAAGAATTATTAAACATAAATATTAATAAAAATATAAACTTCAATTTCAAAATAAATGTTTTAAAAAAGTAAAAAACCTATTATCTAAAATTAAAATACATAAACATAACATGTAAAGCATATTCAAATGAGAATTTAAAAATAAAATCAAACATATAAAACATTTTCAAGTATGTAAAACCCACAATCTCTTTTTTTTCCTCGATTGCATTACTTCAAGTAGCTAAGGCCCTGTTCGGTATCATTCCATGGGAACGTTTCTCGGGTTCCGAATGTTCTCACGGATCAGAAATACGTTTGGATGCATTTTGTCACATGAAATATCATGTTCTGGAACAAGAACAAGCTGCCAGGAGTGTGTTTTTTTGGAGTGACAAAACCGTGTGTTCCCACAACGTTAACTTGAAAAACAAACACAATTTCTCACGTGTAAAGAGGGATGTTAATGTAGTTTTGCTCAAATAAAAGAAACGTTGGGCACAAAATGCCCTTGTCAGTTATCTCTTTTCTTCCTCATCCCACTGCCGCACAATCCATCAACCAAGAAAGAGTAGTTGGCCAGAACTTTCTTCTTCTTTGCTTGTGGATTCACTGACTTGAACCGTTGCCATTTGAAGAGTTTGAACCATAGTTCAGCCTGAAAATAGTGATTAACGCACTGAAAAACGCCAGAACTTCTTTTCTTCTTCTGCCATATCATCACACAAACAGAGTTCAGCCTCCTTGTTCCTCTTTTCTCCCCCTTCTCTAATGTTTAATTTTTTTTTTTTTTTTTTGCAGGTTAGGTCAATATCCTCCTTCATTCAACTCTCTTAGCCAATCCCCTTTCCAAAAGATAAACCCTATGTTTTGTTTTCTGATCATTTGTTGGCTGCAACAAAAGATCTAATGACTTGAATATGTTGTAATTTTTCATTTTAGTTCGCTTCCATTCCTAATCCAAAAGAAAATTTTTCACTTTATTTTGTTCCCTAAAGTAGTAATCTAGAAATACTGGTTCCATTCATGATTTTGGAATAGGGATTAGCATTAATCCTCTCCCTCCCCTACTTGGTAGATAACATCCATGTTTCCTACAATTGAATCTTGGAATTTAATGTTTTAGTTTTCCTATATTGTAGAATTTAAGATCCTAAGAAGAGTCCCAAGTTTTATCATTCTATTGTTCATTGGATGTTACTCTTTTATAAGAAGTGTTTCAGCTCTATGTTATTGAGCAATTGCATCATTTAGTTTAGATTTGTTGAATTTAAAAGAGAAGTGCCTAATAGATTAGTAACCACTATTATGATTTTTTGTATGTATATTGATATGAAGAATTAATCATAAGAAATAATATGGCTATCCAAACATCATTTCTACTTTTATAAAACAAAAATATGTTCTTTAAGAACAATTTGCCAAACAAGTCAGTTATTTTTCAGGAATAAGAAACAGGATTCCTGTTCCGGAACAGGAATTTCTCTAAGAACAGAAATAGGTAGGAATGATGCCAAACAGGGCCTAATGTGATGTAAAACATATTACATTCCTGATTCTACGAGCCTGCCTTTGTGCCACACCCCTCGAGGCAAGCCCAAACAAGTCCATGTTAGGGTCTTAAGTTCTTAGTTCTCACACAAAAAATAATGATTTTATAATTTTAATTGCTTTTTAAGAAGATATTGACATTGTATTAGGATGAATGAATGAACAACATTACCAAATAGGGGGTTCTCGGAGCTTTAGTGAGCGAGCAAAGCAAGCGAACCTCCTATTTGGTAACGTTGTTCATTCATTCATCTTAGTACAATGTAAATATCTTCTTAAAAAGCAATTAAAATTATAAAATTATTTTTTGTGTGAGAACTAAAAATTTAAGACCCTAACAAGGTTTGGATCCATCTACTATTGTATTCAACTCTCTAGGAATCCAAAACAAGGTTTGGATCCATGACACCCAACATATCTCTAGCCTCATCAGGTCACTTTACCAGACTCCAAAATTTAACTTCACTACCCCCTATACCAGCATCAACTAGACCAGGATATCAATTATCAAAAAAAAAAAAGACCAGGATATCTCTAGCTTGATCACACCTATACCAGCATCACCTAGGTTCCCTAACACACTACCCCCTCCTAACAAGGGGAAGGACCCTAGGTGGTGGTCATAATTCTAGGGGAGGAATACAAGAAATTAATAACACTTCCTTCTCCTTCATCCATAGACTTTATTATTATTATTTTTTTTTTTTTTTGCAGAGTCCAGCTCCTCATAATCTACTTCTCAATCTAGTGAATATATGAACCACTAATGATTCTTGTTCCCCTTTTATCCTTCTACCAATACTAACATTATGTTCCCCTACATTTTGAAGTAAGATATAGACCTAGCACTCTGGAAACCATGCCTCAAAGCCTTTTTCTCTCTAGCCTTCTCTACCTTATTGGAGTTGTAGTCATCACAATAAAAAAACAAAAAGAACAAAATACTGCTGGCACTATATGGACCATGTAGCTGACTACATCAGAACCACCATAACAAAACCATAATATAAGAAATCTAAAGTCTCAACTCAAGTACGTCACCCCCTATTGCCTAGCTTCGCCTTGGAGCCTTGAAAACTATGATTGGGTGACCTGTCCTGCATTCCCAAATACTTTCTTCTTCTCTCATTTCTCTCTTCTTCTCCTTGTCTCTCTCAATCTATTCTCTTACAATTTAGTATCAAAGCATGCCAAAAATAATAACAAATAAAATAAAACTTTATGAGCCTAGGTCCTTTATCTCAGACTCCTTAGCTAAGAAACTTTTCAACCTATTATCACTATGTCACCTTCATGCTTGAGAAATATAGTAATTTTACGTTCTTCTTGACGAAGAGTGTGTGTCCTACTTGGCTTTTTTAGGTCTATTGTCATGGACAAGCTAGGCATGTAATAACATTTATGCACCAGATTCAAGTGGTGTTTTTTTTGGATATCTTTTGAAGGGCTACACAACGGGGGGTAGCCCATCCCCCAACCTAGGTGCAGGCAGGATTTGATCCCAAGTCTCCGCTACTCTCTTACCAACCAGCTGGTTGGCGCCTTGCATTATTATTAGTCAATGAGACTTGATGATATATCATCGTGGTATACACAATCAAACTTGCAGGAAAGGGGTGATATACACAATCAAGTATGATAATTATAATTTAGATTCTTATAAAGTGAGAAACAGGGGCAGAGTGACCTATTAGCAATTACTAAATATATTTTCCAAATTCTATATTTGAAAGCAGAAAAATAAATAAGTCAACTGCAGCAGAGATGACTCATTGAAGACCCAAATACCACTCCAAGAAAGCAGACAATGGGCAATCTCCATTACTCACTAATCTGAATGCAATCAAAGGGGCATTTTCAGGTTGGAGATTCTCGGTGATCTTGTAAAAAGGAAAGGATTATCTGAATTGAACAATGAAGCATCAAACAACCATTAACCAGAACTCCTTAGGCTTTTCTTGAAGCCTTTCTGAGTATAACATCCAAGTTTTTTTTCTGTCCCCAGAAAAAAGAGGTACACTTTCACAGGATAACCCATATGCGATCATTATTTCTCATATGTAGTATTTACATATTCTTATACCTCGTTCGTGGAATATAGTTACCACTAGCAGCTCCTCAAAAAGATCGTCCAGACCTTTGAGGTACACTGTCGCAAGTATTGCAGCTTTGTTCTGCTGCAGAGGAAAAGCTAGTTCCGCTTGATAATTCAATGTTCTATGCAAAGACAAATTTCGTATATCACTTGTCACCTGATAACATTTTCAAGAACAACAACTACAAACCAAAACAAAGCCAATAATTCATTTCTAGAATAACGAAACAACAGCCAACAGGGAAAAGGGGGGAAGAGCACCCAAGAAAATCGGGAAAAATCGTTCCTGGTTAGAGGTCCACAAACAATTAAATAAAATCATACTGTAGTAAGCTTTCTTTTGTACTTACTCAGAGCTCTTAGGAGAACTATCTTTGAAGGTCTACATTTTAAACGACCTCAGGGCGCTATAGTATCATTCTATAACTGCCAATCATCCATGATAAACCCAAAAAAGAGAGTAGGTAAAATTCGTGGATGACTACCGACAGATTTTAAGGAGAAAGTAATAGGATTACCGCAGAATCCACAGGAAGAAAGAACAAGTAACAGCACCAAAACAAGAACAGAAGCAAACTGGCGACCGTAAAGAAGCACAAAAATAAATAAATAAATAAAAGTATCTAACCTCTTGGCCACTCGGAAACGATTCTTTCCTTGAGCATGGCGACCGTCGAGGCTGAGGAATACCTAATTGGACCAATATCCGATCCATCGTACAGACGGAATTTAAGTTCGACCAGGTCCTCTTCCGGCATTAGAACTCTCAAAACAGTTCCAATTTCCAAATCACCGATCTACCAATCACGACTCAAATTCACGAATTCCTTGTTCGCGCACTCCCTCTTAGATAAACTAGGGTTCATTCAACCTGAAAACGAAGCCTGAACTCAAACAGTTGGATCGAAGAAATTATGAAATATCTAGAGAACAGATCAATTCAGTTGAAATCACAGCAACGGTTATTGTTTAAGCAAAAAGATAAAGGGGGGAAAACTCGTCGTAAAAGGACCTTCAACCAACAGATTCAGAAAGATTGAGATTACGGACTAGGGAGCGATTCAAGAGCTTTACTAGGGTTTTGGAATATGCGGCATGAGAAGTTCAGGATTTGAGCTTCAACCGAAAAAAAAAAGGATAAGTATGCGAAGTCTAGACCCGATCATGACACCATTTCTCTGCCTTTATTTGTCTTCTTATTCCTCTTTCCTTTCCCCTCCCCCCCCCCCCCCCTCTCTCTCTCTCTCTCTTTCAGCAGCTCCAGGTAGGGAAAGTGAGGTTTTGGGTTCGAATCTTGCCACAGAGAAGAGCTTTGTTTGGTCGGTCGAGGATAAACGGAGAAACCTGAGATACTGTTACTGTGCGTGGGACTTGGGTTCGCTTCGCTTCGATGCCGGCTTGACTGACCAAATTTGAAGTGGATAAATTTGACGCGTGGTCTGCGAAAATTTATACGTATTTGATAGATGTAATACTGGAGTAGTTGGTAGACACATCGTAGAAGAAAGGTGGACACTCGTCTAGAGTTCTGATCTGCTGTGCACTATTTGATGTACACGTTGCTGTATGTGCAACAGAACCCAACACCTGTTTCTGGAATCACGTGAAAATACGAACTCGAAATTTTGGCTGTCCCACCCACGTTCAACAGCCTGTGATATTCCAGTATCGTGTTCGATTCGAGTCTTAAATTCTTAATATCCTCTATTTGCTCAGTTAAGCGTTTTTAAGAGTTTGTTAATCGTTACAACGTCAAAACGAGGCTTCCTGTACAGGAGAAAACGTTTTTTTCCTTTTTTTTTTTTTCGCGTACGTGGCATGGCGTCTGATCGGCACCGTTGCACTTCACGAGCATTTCATTTCTATTGATGTGTCATACGTGCCACCTCACTAAATAAATTGGAATGGATAATAAAATTGTATTTGACAATCCTGAAAAAAAAATGTTTTTATAATGATTAACTTTGGAATTTAGGATTTTTTGAAATGTCATATTTATGTTTTTTGAATTGTCTTAATGATCCTTAATCTTGGTATTAAAATTTGAAAAAGGCCGACTACTTTTTTCAAATATCACACAAATATATTATAATATTAAGTTAAATCACTTTAAACACCTAGAGGATGTTTTGGAACGATGTATTTTACAACCGTTCCATTTTACAAGTGGGTCTTAATTTATAAGTGATTCATTTTATTTGTTTTTTTGAGAAACACAAAAAAAACGGGATATAGGCTGATTAGACATTTAAATTGATTTAGCTTAATATTATAATATATTTATAATGACAAATATTTAACATCTCAAAAAGTGATCAACTTTTTCAATTTCCAATGTGCCATGCCATGTCACTAGGGTCATTCAGGATCACTAAGGCCAATTAAGAAATGGAAATTTAGTGTTTTAAGAAACCCTTTCTTTCCCCAATCCCAAAACTAATTATTACAAAAATGTTTTCTTAAAAACTAGGACTATTAATTGCCATTTTTTTAGATTATGTTTACTTGCGAATGTTGCACAAATAATACATCAGTAGAAACGGAACAATCATAAAACGCACTTGTGAAATACAATAGTGCCAAACACCTACTATGTTGTCCAAAGTGCATTGATATCAAACATAACATACATTACATAGTGAATTGGACCAGATAACCCAAGGGCCAACCCTAAATGGAAGTTCTTTTTTTGGATTTTGAGAGGAGGAAAAATTGGTCAATGGGATTTTGGTTCCAATTGATCAAGAATCTCATGTTCTTTTTTTTATAAATTTATGTGGGGACTAGGGAAAGTTTATTTTCCTGGATACCGGTGGGTAAATAATTTTCCCACCTAGGGGGAAAGTTGCCAACACTTGAATGGGACAAAAATGTCCCCTTTGATAATGGAATTTTATGGATAAAATGGTCATTGGCTTATTTACATGAAAAATAAAAGAACATTGATAAATGCACTTACCCGGGTAAGTAGTGTTTCATAGGAAAAACTTACCTAGGTACCTACATTTACCCGAGTAAGTAACTTACTAAAAAGTGAACGATGCCTAAATAGCGAACCTAAAGCCTAAATATGGACCAGGCCCAAGGTCAAGTCCAATTTTTAGCCTAGCTCAAACTGATAATTGATATATTTAAATTGGGCTCAAGCTTGTCAATTGAGCTTAAATTGGCCTATAAGGCACAAGGTACTAAAAAGTTGCATGAACTTATTTAATACTACTGTTTAAACCTTAAATAGGAATTTTGTATATTTTGCATATATACAAGCATAAGAAGGTGCCAACTAACTCAATTGGTAAGAACTTTGGCTTGGTTATAACAGGATCAATTATTGCCTTCAATAGTTTTTTTTTTTTTTTTTTTTTGGGGGGGGGGGGGGTTATATACATATAACAAAAGCATGCATGTTTATGCATACATGTGTATACTAGTAAGTGTGTACGTGGCAATTCTATATGATGATAATGATAGGAATAATGTATCTAACATTTTTTATAAAATTCATGTATTTTTATTTTATTTTATTGTTTTTTCATTATTAATCGGATGCTAATAATCTGAATCTAATTATGTAAGTACCTCATATTGGGCTGCAAAGTTTTAGGTATCATTGACATGCCTCCTCACTTGGCTAGACTCTTCTTTTTGTAATGTTTCTATCTTCGTGGTGTATATTTTTTTGTTCATTTATAAAAAAATGTAAGATTTAAAAAGAGGGAATTGAATGGGGTGAAATTTGTAGTTCAAACTACATTGTAAACCTCATAATTAAATAGTGATTAAATTCAAAAAATTGGGTATTTTAGTCAAAAGAAAGTTCCACAATTTTATTCATATTTTTAATAGTATTATAAATATAGAATTATACATGTGTTCAATTTTTTCTATAATTTTTTTTTATTTCTCTGTGTATAAAAATAATATTTTTATGTACACTTATTTTTATTTAATATGATAAATATACAATATAATACATGTGCCCAAATGTTTTTTTATAAATTTTATGTATTTTTATTTTTGTACTTTTTATATTTTATTAATTTTTATTATTTAATTATGACATTAAAGGTTGATAGATTTGACCCAATAGTTGAACTATTGACCTTTGCTAAATAGGAAAATAATTTCATTTTTGGTTAGTTTTAGATTATGTATTTCATTTTCATCATCGATAAAAATAATTCTTTTTTATTACACTTGTTTTTTAAATTTGGTTAATAAAAAATATCACAAATGTGTCTATTTTTTCTACATTTTTGTAAATTTTATATTTATTTATATTTAAAAATTTTATTATATAACTATGATTTCATGGGTTGACCAATTTGATTTGGATAGTTGAATTACTTAGTCATTACTTGGATAAAGAATGGTTTTGTTATTACATTTTAAAATATATGCGTTTATATTGTTAAAAGTATTGGATATAGATCTAATTAGTAGTATTTGTCAATGAAAAAATAACTTAAATATAGGATTTAATAAGAGAGAATGGAAGTTAATAATACCTTAAACACAAGATGAGAGGGTATTAAATGAGATGAAAGGCATTAATTGAAATTACATTTACAACCTTCACAATTAGAGATGGACTAAATAACAAATGTTGACATTTTAATCAATAAAAGTTCCACACCTTCATTCATACTTTTTATAATAGTATATACATATATATATATGCATCTATGTATTAGTAAGGATAGGTGCAATATATGGGCATTGTAAAAGTGAAATTGAGCTCTATGACATTTCCAATTGAGATGAGCCGATTCAAGTCCAACCCAAGCATTATATTTTGGGTTATGTCTAGATGTTATGACCACAAGCAAAGTTTCACCACGAATGAAAGTGGCCAAATTACTATGCTATATTCTTTATTACTTTTAACATTTATTATTTTTGTTATTTTACTATTTTTATATTATTTTAAATCGATATTATTATTTTTTTGAATGGAATTTGAAAAGAGATTTAAAATTGTAATTCTTGAATTACTTATAGTTATTAATAATTTAATTTTTATCAAAACACTGTTAGTCACATTTGTTTTAGTTCTCTAAATTATACTATTTTTATTATATTTAAATATAACTTAAATGGTTTGTAATTTTATTATATATGTTTAATTTGTATTATCCAATTTAAGAACATTTTTAAAATGTTAATAACATAACTACTTTTAAATTGATTTTAATTTAATAAAAACTAATTTAAAAAGTATTAAGTTTATTATTTTTATTAATATTTATTAGATTTGACTTTAAATGGAATTTAAATGTTTTAATTTTTATTATTTTTGTTAATTACTATTGTTATTATTTTTTGTTTTATTTTAAATAAATTTAATGAGAAAAACAAATTTTATGAAATTCTAATCTTTTTAACTTTAGTACCTTTATTATTAATTATTATTTTTATTATATTTAACTATTTTTATTATATTTTATTTTTAAAAATAAATTTTAGTAATATTTTTATTTTATTATTTTAATTAATTTTACTAACTTTTCCTTTTTTTGATTGTATTAAATTTTATTAATTATTATTAAATTATTGTTTTTTATTAATTATTATATGGTTTCTTTAAATTTATTATTATTTTTTACTAATTTGGATTGCTTTGAAAAGGAATTTAAATGGGTTTTAACATAAAAATTATTTTTAGAAGTAAATTATTGTTATAGCAATTTAATATCTTATATAATGTTATATTATTTATTTATTTTTTATATTTATTTGTTGTTAGATAATTTTCTATATATTTAATACCAGTCATTACTTGTGCGTTGTACGAGCTTTGTTATGGGCCCATAACATTCATAATTATTCAGACAAGTTGGAACAAACCTAACGCAAGCATTACCTTTTGGGTTGTATCTAGTTGATTTCACCAAAACCCAAGTTACAATCCCAATTGGTTTAGCTACGAAGTTAGTTCAGTTAATTATGTTAAGCCTATTAAATTAATTAGTTAAGTTAAAAAAGTAAATTACAAATTATTTTTAAATTTTAAAGTTTGAATGTAATTTATTTATATTATTTTTGATGGAATTTAAATGATTTTTTCATAAAATTCATTTAATGTTACTTAGTTAATTAAGTGAAACATGCTACTTAAGTTAATTAAGATAATTAGGTTTAACTAAAATAACTTAAATTAATTGCCAAGTTAACCTGGTTAGTCATGTTAAATCCTCTTTCATGTACAACAAACACAAACCAAAGGGTTAAAATCATGGTTTTTAAAATGGATCCGGTGATCGAACCGGTCAGGGGTCCAGTTATCGGGTCGAACGGTCCGACTCGAATGGTTGGTCCATTCTGACAAAAAAATAAAAAAAATTGAAAAATGGTCAAAACCATTTGAACGGTTAACCGATGGATTCAGTGGTTTGC